CAAAGACAAATGAATCAGTAGACAAGTATAGCAGCAAAAGGCAAAGAGAAAAAAATTTAAATAAATTTAAATATAATAATAGTAATAATAAATAAATAAATAAACATACAAACAAAATACAAAAAAAATACACAAAGTTATGCCGTGGTTAAGGTCACACATATTGTGAAAATACATCAGATGTGTTCATAGAGTCAGAGGATCATTAGAGGCATCCATATTTTTTGAAAGGCATCCCCTTTGTTTTTTAAGTAGTATGTATATTATTCCAAGAGCATTGTTTCATTCAAGAGTTGTATGAACAGTTCAAATGTTGGAGGTTTTTGTTGGTTCCAGTTGAGCAAAATGCATTTTTTTGCTAGATAGGAGATGATGCCGATTCTCTTTTATAGAAATAGGATCAAGTGTCTTGTTCAGTTCTGTACTAAAGAGGTATAGTGTTGGTGTGTTGTCCAATGGAACTTGCAAAGCTTTGGCTGTAAAGTCCTGTACTGCTTTCCAGAAAAATGTTAGCTTTTTGCATTCCCAAAAAAACATGCATGATTGATCCTAAATAGGTTTTACATCTGTGACACCTGGATGATACATTAGGGTACATTTTGCTCAAACGAAGTGGGGTCAGATACATCCTATGCATAAATTTATCATTTTGTTCAGTTATTCTGTTATTGGAAAGATGAGTGAGAGTATTCTGGCATATAGCCTCCCACTGATCGTCATTAAAATGATATCCCAAATCTCTTTGCCACACGTTTTTAAGTGATCCCATGCAGTGAAGAGTTGTAATATTCTACTACACTGCAAAAAATGCTTTTCTTGCTTAGATTTTTTGTCCTGTTTCTAGTCTAAATATCTAAAAATTCCTAAATCAAGAAGAATTTTCCAAACAAGCAAAACATATTGCCTTGTTTTGAGAAATATTATGCCAATATTAAGTCAGTTTTTCCTTAAAACAAGCAAAATAATCTGCCAATGGGGTAAGCAAAATAATCTTACGTCAAAAGAAAAAACAAGATTAATTTGCTGACCCCATTGGCAGATTATTTTGCTTGTTT